TCATGGAAACAAAGGCGAAGGGGAAGGGGGGCAAGAAACGACGGTGGTAATGGATGCACGTTTATTTTGGGGTGGATGCACATGCAATGTGATGGACAGCTGCATTGTCTTCTTTTGTGGAGGTGCCTTTTCTTAGGGCTGAAGGCACGTTCGTATCACATGGTGGACAGGGTCTTGAGACGGCTTGGCTTATAAGCAAATCCGTATTAAGACACTGTTCATCATGTGATAAGAACACGCCTTCCTAGATAGGATTGGAGGCGTGTCCATATGGCGCGATGGACATTATGAAAAAGCTTAATTTTGGACTGAAAGGGGCCTTCATATCACGTGATGTATATGTTTCATTTTATGGAGACGGCTTCTTTTTGGACTGAAAGGGGCCTTCATATCACGTGATGTATATGTTTCATTTTATGGAGACGGCTTCTTTTTGGACTGAAAGGGGCCTTCATATCACGTGATGTACATGTTTCATTTTATGGAGACGGCTTCTTTTTGGACTGAAAGGGGTATTCAAAGCGTAAGGGACGTTCATTCTGAGCTACCTTCATTATGTAATGAAGTGGTCCTCATTCTAAATTGAATCATGGCCCTCGATTTGGTGTGGAATGAAGGGTACCTTCATGAAGGTATGAAGGGTCTTCATTAAGGTATGAAATGAGTGTGAATCGCATATAGAATGAAGGCTCCAGGTTCCCAGAGTGCCCGGTGGCCTCCTGGCCGTCTTGTGGGCCGCCAAAGCGGTACCTCGTCGCAGCAGCAGCTTGCATTGTTGAGGCAGACGGGGGCGTTGGGTTTACAAGATCAAACAGGAGCCAGGCAGTGAGGTACGCTATAAGTCGCGTTTGGTGGTGAAGGGCTTCGAACAGCGCGCGGGCATAGACTACGGAGAGCTGTTTGCACCCACCACGCGTGCAGCCTCCCTGCGGGCACTTCTAGCTGTGGCAGCGGCCAGGGGTATGACGGTCCATCAGATGGACGTCAAAACGGCTTTCTTAAACGGCGACCTGGCAGAGGAGCTGTGGATGCGACAGCCACCAGGTTACAGCAACGGCGACCCGATGCAGGCGTGCCAGCTGTTAAAGTCCGTCTACGGCCTCAAGCAAGCCCCATGCTGCTGGTACGAGAAACTGGCGGCGGAGTTGGGCAAGCTAGGCTATGAGCCGTCTATGTCCGACCCCGCACTATTCGTCAAGCGCGGGTCCGACGGCTCAATTTATGTGCTCGTGCACGTTGACGACATGCTGGTGGCGGCACACAACCTGCAATTGGTCGCGGCCGCCAAGGCGGCTATAGCTGGTTGCTTCGCAGTACGAGACCTTGGAGAGGCGCGCTACTACCTCGGCATGGACATCATCCAGGACCGCCGCAAACGCAGCATCATGCTTACGCAGCACAGTGCTGGGCATCACTTAGATCGCCAGAGGAGGAGTGCTGAGGGCTTTGAGGATCGGCCTCAGTTCATTCCTTTTTTCCAAACGCCAAAATGGCCTC